TGTCCAGAGTGCTTGCAGATCATCTGCAGGTATAAAGATAGTCTTGTATTCCACTGCCCAAGTCATGGATTAAAGTATCTTGTAACAGACTCAGAGGAGATCCCTGGAGAGCTCAGTTTGATGCATCCTTCCGTTCTTCCATTGAACCATTGGAGAGCCACATGTACAGAGTAGTTATTGGTTGTGGGACCCACTTCGTATAAGGCATGTTTTAATTACAAAAACATCATGCAAGAGGGCATTAAAAGCTCTACTAATACCACAATAACTTGGTCACATCTCCAGTGTTTTTGTATAAGGCCTGCCAATTTGTCTTTAAGGGATTTTTGGTTGACGTAAGCTTCTGAAAAGGCAATCCATGTTGATTTACTGCCTTCTAGGTAAAAATAAAAAGGTGGTTCTGCTTTGTTTTGTTTTTCCTCTGAGGTGTTAAACCTGGGTTATCTGACCTGTAATTATCATGTTCTTCAACTTCAGAGATGGGTACTTTGGCCTCTTTAGTCTTCTGGGTCTTCCCAGTCCTCAAAATTAATGAAAATAATAGTCAGTGGTACTGAGATTAGAGAACTCTGAGGTTGCTTTGTGTGAATTTCTGAAAAAAACTCTTGGGGGGGGGGGGGGGGAAGTCTGATGGTATTTAGGTGTTCCTCCTCTTGCTGTTGCTGAGGCTTTTGTCCTTAGTTGCTGGCTGAAAAGTGGAAGTCTGAAGCATACATTCTGTTTTGTAATAAACAGTTGTGTTACTGTACCTCCTTCAAAGGTAGCAGCGGAAGAAAAGTCTGTTCAGCAGCCTCTCTGAACATCAAGTTGATATCCAGTACTTCCAAAGCCAGTATCGTTATATAAATTAAGCAGTAATTACCTGTGAACTCAAAAGTCTGCCGGCCTTCACAGGCATGGTTTCTAGAAAAGCAGAGCTCTCTAGAATAAAATGTGTACTTGGCATATGCTTGTCCTGATTAGTGGAGGTGGGAGGATGCCGTCCTGGATAGGAGGTGAGACTTTGGCTGTGGTTCAGACTTCCCCTTTAAAGGGACATTAAAGGAATGTTTCAAATAATTGAAGAACCGGTCTAGTTTTCGTCCTCTGAATCTAGACTGAACTTCTGTAGCATTAAAACTGTTCTTAGAAACCATAACCCTGGAGTATGTAGTAAATATTGGGACTTTATGAGCCTCTAATGGAAATAAATATGGCATATGTTGTAAAGAAACTAAGACTTTTCAAACTGTACCTTGCTCGGTTAAATACTCAGACATCCTAACTGTAGGAACTAATTATCATAGTCTCTGGGACTGGGCCTGAGCCTCTTGGTTCTCAGGAATACCTGCTCTCTTCTCTCACCGGAGGCTGAGAACAAGGAAAGTCTGCGATACCTTCTGTGAAAGAGAAGGTGGACTCCAGTTCTGCAGTTCGGAGTCGGTGACCTCACCCTTTCTGGCTGGCTGTTTGGCTCTGGGGCGCAAATGCGCCCAGAGCTTGGGCTGAGTTTTGGCCTCTTGGTATCTGGCCTCCTGCCAGGGAAGGAACCTGGGGGCTGAGCTGCTGCTCCAGGCTGTCCAGATGAGCTCGGGCAGGTCCACGGCGCCGCTGCGTTGGGGCTGCCCCAGGGCCGCAGGCGGCGTGCGTTACGCCCCTGGGAGCAGGGCTCCCAGTTGTTTCAGCAAGCTGAAGAGGAGTTTTGAGAAACTCTCTAACCCGTTTAATGTGGTTAAAAATAGATGGCTTGACAGTCTGTGAAACGCAGTGATGTTAGTTCAGACCTGCGCATCAGGCACTGCTTAGGTTAGCTCTGAGAGTTTGCTGCTTTTGCTTCTTCCGGTTAGGTAGCTCTTCCTGTAAAGGTCCCCCCTGACAAAATGATCAGCTTTCTAAAATTGCAGAGTAGAAAATGTTCTCTTAATTGTATTAAGAGAATACATAATGTTGTATTGCTACATATATATTATGTCATATTAATACAACAAGCACTTCAGTATCTTTCCAGATACTTGAGAGTAACGCACGTATGCGGCTTATGGGTGGTCAGTACAATAGCTCTTGTGAAGCACATGCTGTGTGGTTATAAGCCACAAGCTTTTTTATAGCTAACTATGGGCTTAATATGCTGCAAATAAATGCCTTGGAAGGTAGATGACTTTCTATTTGAAATAGCTTTCTGAGGAAGATGCTTTTTACACCTTTCTAATTCTGTGAGGAAGAATAAAGAGTTTGGGGCTCATTCTTACCTTAAAGGAATACTGCTATCTCCGCAGATGCCGATTGCTTCCGCATGTCAGGTCCCTGTATCCCTCAGCTGTCCTTTAGCTATGGTGTTACCACGTACTGCTCTTCCTGTAGTTAGGTCTATTTAGTTGCTGTGTCACTTAAAAGGTAGGGGAAGGAGTGACAAACACTTCAAATAATGCTTGTGTGTCAGTGATGATCATTCTTTATTAACCTTGCAAGGTTGTTGGTGTACACATGTTGTGGGAATCAAATTACTTCAGTTAATAGCATTTTGTTACAATGCTCCTTCTGCGGTATCTGGGTTCTTGTTTTATAACTTGAAGTATACAGAATTTGTGCTTATGTGGAAAGTTAAATGACTGGAAGACAGTTTCTTTAAGAAATATTCTTGTTATCCACTTAGAAAAGAGGTGGACAGATGTGCTTTAACACTGGTATAAACTTTATACTTATGATTTAAAAACTGGTTTTGAAAGGTATTGGAGCTAATACTAGCTTTTCTAAAGATTGTTCAGTTAAGTTTAGAAACTGCTTTCACCAGTACTGCAGTTCAGTCTTGCGTTGGCCTAGCTATACTGACCCTAGGGAAGAATGCAGTGGCTTAAGTGGAATGCTCTGATAGAGCCACTTGTGATAGAGGATTTGGACCCTGTATTTCATCTAGTACCCTTTAAAGAATAAGTGTTGAGACAAGTAATTTGAAGGCCATAATTCTCCAAAGACACCCTTGGTATAGTTGCTTTCCATGGGGCAGATCTGCACTGGATGAGGAAGGGCAGATTGTCTCAGGGGTTCAGCGGTGGTTGTAGACCTTATGCCACAGGTTTCCGTTGTCAGAAAAGTTACTGTAGTCTGAGCCAAAGATCTGTGTGAACCAAGCCGGTAGCAAGAGCGCTCTCAGATTTAGGGATTTGTAGAGTGCCTCTAAACACTTGCCTGAAATACAGGGGCCTATTGCCCGTGAAGACAGGGGAGCATGAGGGCTGTGAGAACTAGAACTGCTGATGGCTAGCAATATTTTAGATTCATTTATTTCCGTTTTAACTTAATCTTTCACAGTTTGAATGTGGCATATTTAGCTCCAGCTCTCCAGCTCAGAGTTCCACTTCTGTTTTTCTTGTGCTTCTAATGAAGTAGGTTGTTAAGTAGAACAGAAATACTGGGTACTGTTTGTAAAGATTTTTTTGTGAAATACAAAAAATATGGAAAGTATCTATGAATTTAGTTACGTGTAGCATTAGTGTGGTATACAGCTTATCTGTAGGATGTTGTCACCATAGTATGAGATGTTTTATTAATGGCTCTTACAGTCTTTTTACAGTAGCAACTTGAAATGGCCTGAAAATCAAGGGGGGGGGCTGTTTTTGTTTGTCTTGTTTGTTTGTTTTTAATCAATATCTCTAGTAGCAAGTCATAGGATTAGGCTATTGAAACAATAAGGCTTTTCAGTCACTACACTCCTCCTAAGGAGTTCTGTGGCATCTGTATGCTTTTGGGGCAGAAATCTAACCTGTCTGGATAGCTAATTTGATTTGTAATGTAGGTAGAATAAGAGTTAATATTTTTATTATATATCCATTTTCAATATCTCTGTTTGATTCTTGGATCTCATAGGAATCCGTCAACCGCATTCTACCAAGCGTTCCAATTCAACAAGTTACGTGAGTCAAAGACCTTCTGGGATAGGTATGAATTCTTAAATACGGAATGCATACATGCTGAAGTATGCATGATCAGCTTTGCTCTATGCAAGTTTCTCGTCATCTTAGTTTGCGCAAAATGTTGCTTGTGTTTACAATTTCACATTGGACTTCTGCAACCTAAAAATCTGAGAGCGGTCCTGGAATTGAAATGTTTCAACTGAGACTTCAAAAGGCTTAAAATACTATGAGAGATTTTTTTTCTTCCTCCTTCCATTATGCATGTATCATACATAATGAGTAAGCTGAAAGAGTTTAATGCTAGTCAGCTACTAGCTGACCTTCACTAAAATATCTACAACTTCCTTTTCCAAAAAAGGAAACTTTGGTGCTCAGTCCTGTGTCAGAAGACAAGTTGTGAAAATGTTATATTTAAATGCGATTTCAGCACAGTTAAAAATCTTTTGGTCTTAAAAAAAGAAAAGGAAGCTTTGTGGCTTGCTTTCATCCTG